GTTGGTGAAGGGTGTGTTTTTCAGTGTTTTCTCTCTCCCTGCGTGAGCAAGGCCCATTAGTCGCCCTGAGACAGAATCTCGTCCTGCCGTCTGAGCAGTCGGAACCCCAAACGTCCCCCCATCCAAATCCCCACCTTTGTTTTTCCCATTCAAAACTCGTGGATGTCATCCAAGTCCACTGGCGCCCACACAAATCCAAATTCAGAACAATCCCACTCCTTACCCTGAACCACAAAGCAACAGGAAGCGGCGGATACAAGTGCAGACCACAAAGGGGCGGACGTGAAGGACGGTAATAAGTGACGACCAACTCGAGAGTCTTGAAGTCTCACTGGGCGGTAACGACGACAGAAAGGAGAAGAAGAGAAGGGCGGCAAAAGGTGCGGTTACAACTGTTCATGTAGCCATTAAGGTGAAACCACGCTTCGTCAGTAAAGAAAACCCGATGAAACTCTTCAATTCCATGCTTGCGAACAAATGTCCAAAACAATCTACACTAAGCGTTTTTCTTTATCCAGGTCCTTTTGTTCCTGCACACAGCGAACACGATATGCATGAAGCTGTAACTTCTTCATCACTTTCTGAGCACTTCCGTACAAAATCCCTGATTGGGCTGATAGTCTGTTCAGGCTTTTTGAAGGGGAGCGCCGCAACATTTTCTCCATATCAGCCAGTTTAGCCTCAGTCAAAATGGCCGGTCTCCCAGATCTCTTCCTATCTGAAACTGATCTACATTCCCAAAGCAGTTTATTATTCTCGTTATTGTCAAATTGGTAGGAACTGCAGAATCCAGATATTCCCAACAAAACTCGTCTGTGACACGTGCATAAGAACGACTGACCAAATAATGTTGAGCTGGAATTCATGAAGCGAGCAAACGGGATGTTCATTGGTTTTCAGCAAATGAGGGAATGAACCTTGTGGTAAGGTCGGACTCCTCCGAAGCTGCATATGGTGTAAGAGCCGCAGGTATGGTAGCCCCGGCCACTCCAGGAGTTATGGCCCGCACTGTAGAGAGAGGCAGACAGAGAGAGACAGCCTTGAGTGAGGGTGATACATCTGGGTCTACTTTCACCTAAGAAGTGAACCGTTCGAGACGAGCTGGTCATAAGGAGGGAGCGGTGGTTGCAGTTGGAGAATAGTCACCGCAGGAGGAGAAGATCGAGCACAGACGTTGTCAAGCACAGCCCTCGGAAAAGGAAAGGTGATGCACCGATAGGCTATTCGGGACGAATAGGTTTAAGGAGGAAGCAATGTAGCGTGTATAGGTAGGTAACTGCGCGATAAACATCTCGCGTAAGCGCACTCAACAATAGGGCAAATGTTCATAACTCGTTGCTGGATATTTTATATACATTTGTTAACTTGTTTAGCATGTAACATGTAAATATCCTTTACACTATGATAAATGACTTACTACTGCAGACAATGACTGACAAAAGATGGACCCATCCTCTCGTCAGAGAGGGCGGCACACATTAACAAGACTGTAACTATCAAACAGTAGTAAATGGGCTCCACACAAAGCCTGATGACTGACCGTCAGTTACAATGCGACTTTGATTTTAACAAGTTTGAGTTTTAAGTGACAGTGACAGAGTTCTGAGATCTGAGATCTCGGTGAGAGGCAGCCACGGAAACTTCGTCGTTTGAGGACTTGGTGCGTGATTAGAAGACTTCATTCAAGTGTAATTTTTGGAGTGTGTGACTCAGTGAGACTCGCAACCCAAAAATTCTTACACAAGTATTATATGCTGGCAAAAGCAAGATGGACCAGGATAGCTCAGTCAGTGCAGTAATAGGCTTTGGGCTGGACAGATGCGGTTCAATTCCCTGCAGGGGCAAGATATTTTCTCTACTCCACAGCCACCAGACTGGCTCTAGGGCCCACCCAGCCTCCTATTCAAGGGGTACTGTAGGTTCTTTATCCAGGGGTAAAGCGGCCAGGGCATGAAGCTCACCACTCATCTCCATCTACTGCCAAAGTAAAAAACTATACCTCCACTCCCCCACATGTCTTAACGGCATGCTGCTTCATTAAGACCAGTGACAATTTTGCCTCCTCTTTGAACACAAAAATATTATTTGGCTGACACTTCTATGATGACGAGTTCAGTGATCTGAATGAACCGACTCTGGAATCTGGTAGAAGCAGTACCGAGTTTGGGATCCAGTTCCTGTCAAGCATCTACAGTGGGAGCATCACTTTCCTTAGGCTTCCATGAATTTGCTTTAATATCTTTGTCACTTACAGCTGAAAGTGCGCTCAGAATACATGCAAATGTAACATCTTGACATGGTTTACATGTACTGTATTCTTTGGCAACCTTACTAAGCAAGAAATTAAGCATTCGTGTAATAAATAATAATACCACCATAACTAAGGAGAATAATCACTTCTGTTCATATTGCAATAATGACGCCAAACCAACCCATTGTTTAGATGTCATTTTTGATTAGACTAACCTCCTGAACCTGCTGGCAAAGTTTGTCAGTTCCACTGCGGAACGCCCTGTGCATGTTACTTAGGGTTTTCTTTGGTTTCTCTGTTTACAAATAAATACATTCAAAAAGTTTTTTTAAAAACTTTTTGTTAGGTAGGTTTATACCCTGCACACCATTGTTGAGAAAAATAAAATTAAACAAACAAAATGCTCACAGCCATAACCACCTTCCCCACTCCCAACTTCTTCTAGAGTCTTGGTGACTTCTGGACCACCATCAAGTGATGCAGTGCGGTGGGTGTTGCGGCTTCATGAAACAGAAAATGCAATTCATTGTAATGAAGGTAATATTATGTGCATTATCTCCCAGTAGAAAAGAGCCCAGAAGATAACAGCATGCAGTGAGATTTGAGGCTCTTACAGCAGTGAATATCAAGATTATGATCCTCTGGGATGTCACCGAACTTTGGTGGATAGGTATGTATATTCTTGGGAACTTGCTGCCTCCATATATGAGGCAGACTGCCTAGAATATCACACCCCGGAAGACAGTAATCTACATATTCAATGGATGTTCGGGAAGTGGCTCAACAGTTTATTAAGTTGATTAACAGATTATTAACTAGAAAAGCTCTAAAACG